AGAAAGTGAGAAATCATCCCCCAGGGGGGATGGCCACACTGCAATCCCTCCTTTTCCATTCTCCTCTCAGGATCTTGGGCACACATGTACATGCAGCCGGTGTGAGTTTAAGCTTCTGGGTCCAGGACTCAAACCACAGTTGACTACATGGGAGTCCAGTGACATAGCCATTACACCAACTGCAGGTCCCTAAAATAATTCTTTTAAAAAAAAGATTGGGACCAGCAGATGGCGTAATGGTTATGTCACTGGACTTCCATGTAGTCTGCTGTTCAAGTCCCAGACCCCATGGCTTAAAACTCACGCTGGGCATGTGTGTATGCATGCCCAAGATCCCGAGAGGAGAATGGAGAAGGGATTTCAGCATGGCCATACCCCCTGGGAGTGATGTCTTGCTTTCTGTCTCTCTGTCTCTTTGGCAACTACACACACCCTATAGCAAAACCCTCTCTAAAAATAATTTTTAAAATATATTTTATTAACTTTATTCATCATTATCATTTTCAATTTGACCAGAAAGAGACAGAGAGAGAGAAGAGGGAAAGTGAGAAAGCAAGCTGCCAGGTTCAGGACTCATAAACTGTGATAAACCATGTGGGAGTCTAGCGCCCTTCACCACCACGCCCCTTGCCAGCCCCCTAAAAAATAATTTAAAAAAAAAAGATTATTTAGGGGCCAGCAAGTGTCATGCTGGTTAAGGGCGCTGGACTCCCACATGGTCGACCATGGTTCAAGTCTCAGACCTGGCAGCTTGCTTTCTCACTTTCCCTTTCTCTCTCTCTCTGTTCCTATCTCGTCAAATCTCTCTGTTCCTCTCTGGTCAAATTAAAATAAATGGACGAATAAATAAAATTAAAATAAGACAATTATTAAAAAAAAAAAAAGATTTGAGCATATCCTCAGCTAGAAACCACAAGTGACGTTTTTTCTTACTTTTGAAACAAATATACATTAGTTATGTCATTTAGATGACAGCCTCCTTGCCCTTTGGGATTGGAGTATAAAAAGCCCTCCGGAACTAAAATTTCTGCAAATTTTGGAGGGCCTAAATTCTCCCAAATATCTCTGCCTCTGGGCTTCTGTTTTCACCAGGCAGTTACTGTTCCACAGTTCAGAAATCTGGACACGAATCTCAGCCCTTTCCGAGGACTGCCCACGTGTCTTCTTCCCACGGAAACATTTAAGAGTACAGAACAGGATTCTCTGGCCTGGGGCAGGGTCACAGGATATATTGCAAACAGTTTAGACTCAGCGATCAGACACACTTCTCTAAAGTCCTTAGCACCCCTCCCCCCCCACACACACACATACACTGAAGTTTTCTTTTTTTCTTAGAGATTTTTTGCTATAGGGTGTGTGCACTCACCAGAGAGACAGAGACAGAGAGACAGAAAGAGAAAAATCACCCCTCAGGTATTTCTGACTGATTATTTAGGTGCTATTGTTTCTGCTAAGTCTTGATTCTTTCGTTCACATTTCCATCAATGTCCTCAAAAAAGAGGATCTTAAATTTCTGTTGGTTACCAATCCTTTTAGGACTCTAATGAGGGTTGGGACAAGCAGGTGGCTCAGTGTTAAGGAGCTGGACTCCCGTATGGCTGATCACGGTTCAAGTTCCAGACCTGGCAACTTGAAGCTCATGCTGGGCGCAAGATGGCCATGCCGCAATCCCTTCTCCTCCATTCTCCTCTTGGGATTTTGGGCACGCACATGCACACACCTGGCATGAGTTTTAAGCCACCAGGTCCGGGACTTGAACCGTGGTTCACTACATGGGAGTCCAGTGATGTAACCATTACACCATCTGCTGGTTTCATACACTGAGATTTTCTAACTGGTCCTCAACCCTTTAGGTTAGGGTTGACCTTTGAGGCCTTCTCCCAGATCTTCAACTCTCCTCCTCTCCTCCTCGGCCCCACCACTCTCTTCTCTGTCCCACCCTCTCTGGAGGAAACAAAAACTCCTCTGGCCTTCCAGGCAGAAAGAGACACCTTCAGTATATCTCATCATTGCTTGGGGGCCTGCCAGCACTCACGCCCTGAGGATCTCACTTTCTAACCCGCCATGCATACTTCCCCAATAAAGACAATTCCTTCCCTAAGAGAAATTCTGGGAGCACTGTTACGGTTTTACATTTTTTATTTCATTCCATTTTTATATTAAAAAATATAGAAAATGTAGGGGTCAGCCAATGGAGTGCTGCGAGTTGCTGGACCCACATGAGACGGCCCCCCCAGTTCATGTCCTGGGACCACGTGTGCCGCCCGGATGCACATACACACGACTGAGACCGAGGCTGGGCGTGAACTGCGCTGCGAGACCTGTGGGGGATGTCCGTCTGTCTTTCTCTTTCTCCCTCTCATGGAATAAATAAATAAACTTTACTCCCCAGAAAATGTATAACATTTCATATAAGAGACCAGCCAGTGGCATGGATGTTAAGGTGGCTGGATCTCACATAGCTTGACCACACAGTTTTGAGTCCTGGACCCCATTTGTAAAACATGCCAGGTGTGTGTGTGTGTGTGTGTGTGTGTGTGTGTGTGTTTGCCCAAAGATCCTGAAAGGAGAAATGAAGGACTTGCGGCATGATCATCCCAATGGGGAGTGCTTTCTCACTCTCTCTCACACGCATGTGATTAATTTTTTTAAAATTTTAATCAAGGGACCAGCAGTTAGCGTAATGACTATGTCGCTAAACTCCCATGTAGTCAACTGCAGTTCGAGTCCCAGACCCAGTGACTTAAACTCACGCCGGGTGCGTGTGCGCGCATGCCCAAGATCCTAAGAGGAGAATGGAGGAGAAGGGATTGCGGTGTCCCCCCGGGGGGTGGATTTCTCGCTTTCTGTCTCTCTGTCTTTTTCTGTCTGTCTGGCGAGCACACACACCCTATCGTGAAAACCT